TTTGCCTGCAGCCACAGTGCAGATTAAGTAATTATTAATCGTCGCCGGTCGCTAGTCGGGATTCTCATTGGGCAGACGATAAAAGCATTTCTACTAATTAATGCTTCTCTGCACATTTTTATTTTGATCATTAAAACCATTGTTTGTGGCTATCCGCCTGTGAATACTAGCTTTAATTTTTGTTCTCCTTTAGATAAAATATGATTTTCACTAAATTTTATTTAATAACTGTAAAATACATAATATCACCGTAACACATTGAATAATGACGTAGCCAGCTAGGAAATATAAATTTGAATGCTCAACAATTTTACGATTTAATACATTTTATTGCTCGATAACATTAAAAAGTGTTAGATATGGCTAAGTTTTATTGTTTTTGTTTATTTTTAACATATTTTTTATATGGATATGATACTCTTGAAACGAATACTTTGACAACTGCGACCATACGTCAAAGCACTTCACCTCAACCAAGACCATTAGTAAGAAGAGCTAATTTGGATGATGAAAAATTGAGTGACACCTCTGATGTTCAAAAAGATGCAGATGCAAGAAGCAGAAAGAGTACGCGATTTTTTGAGATTAAACAGCATCGACAGAATGCTTATTTTTTGATTATTTTTTTTGTTGAACCAATTTAATAAATGATTTTAGCAACATCTGTTTGGAATTGGGATAGCTTGTGTCGACTTCAAGTGAGAAAAGGAAAATGTGGAAAGCAATTGAAAAGGTTAGTTACTGATATAAAATTAAACGAATACTCAGTTTCTTATAACAAACTTACGTTTTATTCAGGTTTTATTACAATATTGAAACGAACGAATGCAGTCCATTTTATTTCGGTGGATGTGATGGTAATGAGAACAACTTTAAAACTATTTTGGAATGCGAAAGGCATTGCAAGAGTAAGCAACTGCATATTATTAAGACAATATGAGACTATAAAAATACTCTGTACATATGTTTGTACAAATAAATAATAAATACATATGTATTCTATAGATTCTTACGTCCAAAGTGTTGACATTTCTCCGCGGATAAATCGTTGTCATCTCCAGCCAGAATCTGGCATGTGCCTCGCTTTAATTAAAAGGTAAGTATAATATTATAATACCACAGCCATTCATGCTATTAACTTGTTTTATTCATTTCAGTTATTATTACGATGTAAATGAGAAAAAATGCAAAAGCTTTACATATGGCGGTTGTGGAGGCAATACAAATAGGTTCATGACCAAAGTGTCGTGTATAGAGGCGTGTGGAAAATCCAGTAACTAAATATATCATTCATTAAATAGCTATAATATTATTTTATTATCTATCAGTTTTATAGGTAAAAACCTGGTCATGACCTTTTAAATTCATAAAAAATATATTTAAAATTTATTATACAGTATTGACATTAAATGCTTAATTATATTCCGACTTACAATTTTATTTAAGTAACGCAAAGGAGTCGTAATATAAAAAGTAACTTTTAAAAGTTTAACCTCGGACCGTAAAAATCTTTTTATTTTACTTGGGAGTTGGGAGTTGGGTGTAAAATAAAAATATTTAAGCTTCGGGCTGGCAATTACTGGAAGGCCCGGCTTAATCCATGACGGAGAAAAACTCCCCTAATTAATAGTCGAGTTGGATTAATTAGCGAAGACATGCCTCCGAGCTGGTGGTGTTTCAGTTCTTTCCCTTTTTATATAAAAAAGTCAGGAAGCAATTTTGATTCACTAATTTGTACATTGATATAAGGCATACATTTTATAGATTTGATGACCGTTACGCTTTAATATATCGTAAAATCTTCAAAGTGTTGAATTCCGTATAACATTTTATCAGCAAATTATTTAAATCATAATAACTTCATTCATTGTTATAACGTAGAACATATACTTAATATAACAATTTTGTTACGCCAGTAACTATTTAGTTACTGTCGTGAAAAAGGTCTTATACTTTAGGAACAATTTTTTCGATAACTTCTGTTTAGAAACTAAATTTTATCATGTTCATAGGTTATGGTGACCGCTAAGCATTAAGCGGGCCATAAACTTCATTGCCACTTCATATAAAAACATTAGATTAAAGTCTCGGAGAAATAATTATAAAATATGTTATTACTATTACTATAATAAAACTAATAATAAAAACGAAATATTTAATATAAAACTAAATACCACGTATATATTTAAAAGAAAAAATTCGTCGAATTACTTGAGATTGCTTAAACTAAATGTATACCTACTGAGTATTTTTTTTTCTGCTCGTTTAAGTTAATTGCGTTGCGACTTGGTTAGATCAAGATAACTTTCTTCCACATAATCATGAATAAAACGAACTAGGGGTTAGGCTGACAAAAGTTTGGTTGGAACTTAAAAATATTTCGGACTTAAATACAATATATGAAATTAAAGCATTTATTTAAAATTTTAATAAACCAAAACTATTGCTGTTTTTATAAAAAGAGTACTAATGTTACATTGTAATAAATAGCAACTGCATAGTTGGTATTTAATAGGATTAGTTTAGAAGCCCGATATCATTATTCTATTATACAGCAAGACAAAAGGCCTAATACCTTACTCTGAAGCAAATCTAGTAAAGACAGAAAAATGTGATATGAAAGGTTAAAAGATAAAAGTATGTCATCTATATCTTCTTTATATATCAAAGAAATTCGTGTTAGTTACACTATTTACATATAACTCAAACAAAGCTGTACGAGTTTGACTGAAAATTGATAGAAAGATAGCTTAGGAATAGAGTTCGCCTGGTCAACGATACATTTCTAATTATGACACTTATGCAGATGAAGTCGTAGGCAAAAACTAGTATCATATAAAACCTAAACCCAATTTTTTGGACTTTATCTTTGCTAATTTTTTTTTATGCTATAGCTTCAATCGCACTGGAATATTTAGCTAATTTCAACGGTTTTAATTGTTGGACGTTATAACTTTCTTTATGTATTCTTTCTTTATTGGTTGGTTGGCTCATTCGTGCAAAGATTTGCACTGTATATTCTGCCAGTGTTGTGGTATTCTTTGTTAAAACACACATGAGAAAAATGTCAGTTTGACATCAGTGACAGCCATAAATCGTACACAGCTAAAATCTTACAAGGATCTCATAAAGTAACTTCATGTTATATTCGGGTTAGTTAGTTGTATTGATTGATAAACTTTATCTTAAAAATATTTTCATAAATTCGTAAAGAAAAGTTTAAGACAATTGAAACATTATCACTAAAAATGGGAAACAAGAAATGTATGTTATGTCTCATATGTAGTATTCACATTAAATATAAACGATGTATTAAAAACGTTTTTCGTGAGAGGCAAACGAAGCGAGTGGGACTTCATATTGGTAACTCAGGTCATTCATACACGGAGATCATTTCAGCAACCGAATATCCGATCGAGTCGAGATTTTGTTTATTTGCTTGCTAACCCAGTTATTGCTGGTGGTTTATATAAAAAAAAATAGATAACTACCAATTCCAATTAAGGGCCGCAAACCGAAACTAGGTCAAAAAACAGTCCGGTACCCTAAAGCTGAGGTCACTTAACTCAACTTGTACCGAGAGTTTTGAAATACGAAAATTCATCTTCTTGTTCAATACAAGGTACAGAGTAAGAATTATAAGGAAAAAGCCATTATCATTAGTTAAAAGATATTACAGATAGCTAACGGCGCGCCTTATTGACATTAGCATACTATTTCATTTGGAGAGGTGAAGTGTTTATTGAGTAATTCGATACGGTATTGACAGAAGCAATATGTGAGTGATAAATCAATTCAAGGGTATTCTAAAATGCTTTTTCATGTTCCCTGAATAGTTGATCAAACTAAACAGTGGGCGTTTCGATGTATAAGAGAAATTTAATCAATTACTATTAGTATTTGATTCTATTAATTTGTATTTTTATATGGAGTCACAAATATTTTTGCTTTACTTGCATCAGAAATATCATATATTAAACAAGACAAATGTTAAATATTATTCGAGTATTTATTGTGTTTTTTTTTTTATATTCCAACTTATTTGTTAATACAACCTGAATTTGTGAGGGAATTCAATAGTGGGAATCTGTTAGATAATATACATAATTTTCGCATATATTTTTGTCCTTTCTTAAAAAATATTTTTATTCCCAGCGTACTCGTAACTATCTTGTACTATTTTATTGTTTTACTAAATTTCCGTAAGATATGTTTTTTTCTAATGAAAATGTAATTAAGGTTAGTGTCTATTATAAAATACAAATCAATACGAGCATGATTATTAGTATATCTACACTCTGTTTGACTGAAAAGTAAAATAAAAGCTTTAATAAGGAATTTACTTCATTTATAATATATCTTATAAGAAAACACACAATCTTCTCAACTTCAAAACCATTGTACATATAATTGATTACTTGAATAAAAATAAAAAACTGTGTGCTCAAAGACACCTACATACGATCAAACGAGAAGTTTTGAAAGATGGCGAACCTCTTTGTAATAAATACCTTTTAGCTTAAAATACAACAATGGGGCCCGGTTGTTAGTCTATCACATTGGCTCAGTCGCGAGATTGGAGTATTTACGAGTTATGTCAATTTACGCCGTTCAGATTTTTTAGCGTCGCTTCTACATTTTGCAACGTCAGTAATTGGAGACTAATTTATCGCGTGTTCCAGAAAGATTTATAGGCAAAAGGATAAAGAACATTTTTAAATCGCCAGCTTCAATTTGGCTTCAACAGCATTTTGTCGAACGATTGCATTATAAATTGGAAAAGATATTTAAAATCCCGTTTATATAATAATGTACTTTATTATACTGCATATTTTCTAATATTAAATAAGTATAAATGAATGTTTATTTTTTTTAAGAAGCAACAAATTTTATTAACATCGGTACATAAATAATTACAAGTAAATACACACAAAGTAAATATATCTAGATAAAACACCCGATCAATTTGATCCATCGGCTGAAAACGTATCAAAAATTGTTTATCTCCCTTTATATTTGGAGCCGGCTATGGCCTGTAAAGTGAAGAATTGTTTTAGAGCGTTGAAAATCCTCGCATAGTATTTTGCTGAACTGACAGATGTGTCAGATTTGAGTTTTCTGCATCTTATTTTTCTGCCGCCTGAAATATTTGTTTCAATTTGCTTATGTGATTTGACTCAGAACATAACTAGAGTACAGAAGGAATAATAGTAAAAGTAATAAAAAAAATAAATCAAAACACAAACTAGTAGATCAAAACCATTCCTTCTATACTGAAAGTTGTAGTCCTGAGCGACAAAAAAAGAAAAATAAATCTATCTCCATATGAGTGATATTTACATGTTCTTACCATCTCGTATCGCATCTCTTCAGTTATTCGGTCGCAAAGATCAGTTGGTATGTCGGTTTCAGTCACATCTTGCAACACATACTTTAATTGGGATGTTCTGAAATATATTACATACATTTTAAAATAGTACGTTAATCATTCAACATTGGCAATTTAATGAAATAGTTTAATTATCCGAGTTCATTACTATATTGAATTTGGCTCAATCATTATTGTGTATTATGAATAACAATGTGGGTTTAGTGTACTGATAGTCCGTTGCACACGTGGTTATAATGAAAGTGTCGCTACCAGGTTAGACCAACTATTTCAAAAAGCAATTAGCGTTGAACAAGGCGTGTGTTCTGGTGACTTGTTATTACAATGATTGGTTTTCATACTAACTAACCCTGCATAGTAAACTTCGCAAATATTATCTAATAAAGTCGTTTCAATTATAATTTTTAAAATATTTTCTGAAAACAGTTTTGTAAATGTTAACATAAAATTTTAAAATATTTTATAAAAGCATAATTATAAGCAAGTAACTTTAGTAATAGAACTGATTTTACTTTATTTGTGAAAATAAGTATGTGACACTAAAGGTAACTCACTGTATGTAAATGAGCATATAGGCACTTGTAGCCCTCCTTGCCTGATGTGGGGCGTCTTCCTTTCCTCCAAAATTGTACTCAATAGCTTCCTGCTTGCTGCATCGAGATACAACATCATCGTCGAATTTGCACCACTGATATCAAATTGTTATATTAAGATGAACATAATCTTTATATAGAAGACTCTTATAAAAATTCTAAAACAATGCTATCTTTAAAACTGTTTCTACCTTTCCATCTCCCTTAGGATTTATAAAGACCACGTAGTGCCCACCATGGTTATCGCCAGAGTGCACTAAAACTGCGTGTAAGGTGTAGTGCGCTGGTGTTTGAGGAATCTCTTGTAAATATTGATCTAAATTCACTTCCTCGTAGAATTCAAATCTAAAATATATTTAAGTGACTACAGTTTCAGACGACGACAAAATTATTTCCAAATAAACCTATGAATATGAATAAAACTATGAACTTGGAAAAATCTTACCGATCATTGAATTTAACTGAAGCGTCGCTCTGTGGATCGTATTGGAATCTCATTAGGTGTAAATGCAACACAGGTGGAAACACGTCAAAGCGCACTCCCTTCTCTGCTTCTTGTAGTCCATGTTCTCCTGCATCGTACTTATTCTCACCGTCAAGTAGTTCTATGCTTATGTAATCTTTAAATGATTCATAAACTATGGAACAAAAATACAATTATTCAGATAGCTTAATGACTTAATTCGATGATTTGAAGACACTTCTTTATGTATGAATAACTTACTATTATTCTTTCCCTTAACACTAAGTTGGATATCATAGAATGTTTCAACGCGAGTACTTGTGCAGTTGACATTTTTACATTTAATAAAAGACGTCATTTTCCCCTCAAACAATTTAGGCACGGTACCTTCAACGACTGTCCCTTTCATTTTATTTTCTAATTTGTCCAGGAGCACCTAAAAGGTTTTAGTAATGAATATATTTATTGACAAAATGTATATTATTCGTATTCTGTAAAGTTGATATATTCTTACCCTGAGAAATTCCTGAACATCATGCTGCATAAACGAGTCTAGCGTTTCCCAACCAAAGCTTTTAGTGAGTTTTTTTGTAGCAACAGGTTTATCCAAGAATTGCAAGTCATAAAAAACACGTTGCAATGCAAATGCCACTGATCGAGAACTGTCGTCACCTACCGTTGGTATTTTGTAGACAGCTTTACGAAGAACATTCGTGAAAAATAAAGTTTGCAGGAGAGAGTTCATGTAACAAGTTGCACCTTGATTCTTAAGTCCTAAAAGTGTACGTGAATGGGGATTATCTCGATTGTTTTACCCGGTTAATACAGTGTAATTGTTTAATGTTTGGCGTGGCATTATACTTAATGGAAAAATATTGTATTTTGACAAAATTTGTTTACTTTTCAAAGTTTTAGATGAAAACTGTAACAAACATTAAACAAAATTTGGCAAAAATAAAGGGATTATCAAATTGCTTAGTGTCTCCATGAGTCTTATGACGATTAGTAATATAATGAAACTTATACAGCCGTACCAACATAGCCCGTATGTTTCTTAGAATCCCAAGAAACACCATGAGGAGCATCTGCAATAACATGTGCTTCGATGGTAATAGAATCGTCTTTGACAAATCCATTATCTGGATCTATAAGGTCTTTCCAAGATATAAAATGAGCGAATCCCCAATCATCTTCTTTGCTGTGAGACAATTTAAGAGTTATAATAAGAAGATAGTAGTCTATTTCAATAGAAATTGGCAATGTTGTGAACAAATCAATTAACCACGATTACTCCGTTCTTACGAGTCCTGTTAATAATTACATCTCCATGAACCCACCACTGTTTTTAACAATGTTTCAATCATGAAATAACTGTGTATATATGTTTATTTTGAACACGATTTTTATAAAATTATTTTAAACACGACAAGTTATTGCTGTGTCAAACTGACACGCTTATTTTTTACTCATCAAAGTCTATTGGACTTCGTAAAATGAGTGTTGTACTTAATAATATAATAGTTTTTGTCCGCTACTTCCTTTGCATTATTTTTAAATTTAGAAATGTATAGCCGACCAGTTGTTCCTCCTTAAAAGCAGTAAAGACTATTATCACGACACGCTTTAAAATTTGCGAATACATAAATATGTTTGTCTGGTTTGAAGGCTGATGCACATATATCTACTGGGATTTTGTATTGTTTCTCATACATATCCATCATTATAGTCCAAACTTTAGTCACTTTAAGGATAGAGTAACGCCTGACGTTTAGTTTTATAGCCCTATTGCCTCTCTCAGAAAACGTATTAATCGTTAGTTTGTGGTTATTTCTTTTGGCGCCCTGACTACCAAAAGACTAAGCTCTTTACGTATGATTTCTAAAACCTTATCGTGACGACTGGAGTATTGACCGCCATCCAGGGGTATCCTACATCCCAACAGCAAATGCGAAGCATTGACAATTGCCCCTCCCCCCACCCCTCGCAGATACATTAAGTTTTTGCGGTACCTTAAGACCTTTTCAACTTAATTGCGTCATTTTAGAGCTATTGGGATGCAAAAATCTTCTCTGTGTAACTCGTTCCGCATTTATAAAACTCACTACTCAATACTTAACAAAAAATGAATACATTATAGTATTTTTTTATATAAACACTGTAGTATAATAATTCAGATTAAAGTATCTTAAAGAGTATTCACATCACTAGGGACAGACAAGTCTGTCAATATCAGCTGATCACATTTGTTTACAAGATTGCTAAATTCCATTGAAATGAAGTATAATATCTTTTCATATAGAAAAAAAATTAAATCTTACCTGTGGTACATGTGGTGTAATTTTCGGCATAAATGCTCTCCATCTGATTTGTGAGAAAGTAATTTCAATTCACCTAAACCATAACAGGACCACCCTGGTGAGTCGCATTCACCATTACACTGTAGGAAGATCCCGAGTGCCTTTTGCTGTTGGCGATCCGGTGTGGTAGTATTTCTTATCAGGACTAGAATCTTCCATGGCAAACACCGCACATAGTATGCGGGAGACAAAACCTGTTCTTTGAGTTGACTTACATTCTGCAGTGTATATCGAAAAGTTGCTGAGGGTCGTGCAATATCTTCATCTTCGATAGGTTTCTGAAAAATATCACTTATGGAACGATATATACATTTTCAGCCTAAACTAATTAAGTTTTCTTTATATTAAAACGTTTCAGCATGAACATTATATGGCAGAATGTTTTAGTGTGATATTGTCTATTTAAAGTACTAATAATCACGCTTACAGCGATGGTTTGTGGCGTATTGCCCGCATTATCCACGCTAGCGGCTTCAATCATCTTTCACGGTTAAATCTACAGACAAATATATTGTTAGATCTATTCTTGTTTTTATTTTAGTGTAATTTTATTTGAAACTATAATTTTATTAACAATTCTATATTTTTTACCTCACTTTAGGTACATAATGGCTGATATCAAAAAATAAACACAAATTTTCACTAATTTTGTAAATTTTTTAGCCGATGACATATGTCATCATTTGATTTTTTAAATGTCACTAGCACTTTCTAAATTTGAAATGTAGGTTTACAACACGTAAAACTTTCTCTGAAAGTTATTATCTAAAAAAGGAAAAGATGTACTACATTTTCTTGTTTGTTTAGTTTGATTTTTCTTTAACTCCATGCTTTCGTTCACGTTAAACATTTAATATATCAATTTGTAGACATAGATGTTTTACTACAATATAGCCTTTAAACCCAGTTATGACCGGACCTGCTTCGTTTAGCAGATATTAATTAAATCCCCAGCCATCTTGCGACGACATTATTCAGTGTTTGAGATTGACAGATGCTGGGACCCTTAATTAAATTTTGTACATAGCCTTCCATTTAATACAAACAATTACGCAAACGTATTAATTATAATCTGTACAAGCCTTACAGGTAATAAAAACAAAAAAAATCTCATACGTTTTTTTAAATATCCGTTATATTGACTTAATAATTGAAATTAAAAATATAATATTCAGACAACGACTGATAAAAAGTACATGCATTAAATTTAATTTTATACGTACTTTAATCTTATATACATATAAATTAAAAACTTCGGTAAAATAAATTGAAACTTTGTATGCATAGTTTTTTCCACGTCTATAAAAAGTTCCTAAACGAAGGAGAAGAGAACAAAGCCCGTAGAATAAAGTAGTCAAAAGAGCGTAGCCAGTTACGTGCGTATGTAAAGCAAAATAATAGAAAAAAAATATAGACGGGGCTAATTAGCGAGCCTTGTTACTGTCTAGTTTCTTTTATATTCATTTCATATATACGTATTTAAGTGGAATACGGGATGTCTCTTCTCTTTATTTCACCGTTACATAGTTTGCGTTAATGGATGTTTGTAATATGACTAATTAATGCAGTTGTTTCAATGGAAAAATGTTACTGTGAAATTATGTATTGAAATATGGATTTGTATAGGCGTTCGCTTAATTATTGAAGGTGAAAAGTTGTTACTTTGAAGATTGATGTGAATTACTCAAACATTTTATGTCTAACTGATTGATCTGCCAATATATAGTGAAAAGTAAATTGAAATAAGAATGGAACACGAAATAATAAATTCGGTTATACACGAAATATACTTTACCGTCCCAATAATCAATGGCTTGGAATAATTGCATTAAGGTATCGAAAATCATGATATTGCGATCGAAAAATGATAGTACTTCAAATTGCTGGCTTTTCGGTTTAACTAAACAGTTTTGATGTAATTATTCGAAAATTAATTGTGATTAATTTTAAACACTATTGGGAAAAAAACAAAGTACAGTTGGTGTTATAATAGAACTTATCCCTGTTTTATAAGAAAATGTTTAAAGAGGGTTAGTAAATAAGTCAGAAGTGTGTAATTAAATGATATTAAACATCTTGAATTGCTGAACAGGATAAAATCTGACTTGGTAGTAATTGAAACAAGTTCACCTGGATCCGATTAACTGTAAATGATGCTGACGCGACCCCATTATTGGAAATAGAATGCCGGTTGATCTAGCAAGATTATGTGAGGGCTGTTTGAATATATATATATATATATATATATATATATATATATATATATATATATATATATATATGTTAATGATGTTTAAGTTGGGATTAGTTTACTTGAATTCTAAACATTAACTATTTATATGGGTTTTAGCTTTCGTTTAAATAATAAATGTAAATTTTTTACACAATTTGTTAATTAATTAAACTTATTTATGAATAAACATGTACATTCAAATATATTACAAATGTTTATCAATGCAATGGATAGGTTTATAGCAAACATGCCACAATAATCCAATCGATATTTCTGAACGTAATCATAAAAATTTCGGGACCAAAATCATTATACAGAACAATTTTTAACAGAAATAAAATTAAAATTATATTGGCTAGAGACCTCCATCAATGGTCATATCCATAAACAAGACTAAAATTGTTTTTCAACATTTATCGGCACAAATAACGAATGCAAAACATAGGAGTAATTTTTGAAATGAAAAATGTAGGCTATATTGTAATAAAAAACAATGACGAAACGTAACTTTAAAAGTACTTTACATTGCAATAAAATATAATTCTTCTCGTATATTTATTCTATGATTTTAATATTTATTAAAGTGTTTTGAGAAATAATTAAGATTTATTAGAGTAATTCTGTTCCAGTATAGAAACTAATCATCATTTTAAGGTGAAATGACAAAACAATTTTTGATCAATATTTTGGGGATTTCAACATTACTGTTGTAAAGAGGTTGTATTAGGAACTGTTTTATTATTTTTTATTTACTAGTAAAGGTATATAGAATCGATTTATGATATTTATTTATTTATTTATTTATTTATTTATTTATTTGTAATCAACAGCGTATACAGATTATATTTGTACAGTTTTTAAAACTTCATTAAGACTATGGCCAGAGAGATTACATTGTAAAGTGTTTAATATAATATTTTTAACAAAGTGGATAACAGAGTAATGGATGGATAAGAGAGTAGGTGCAAAGAAAATAATTGTTAAAACATGCAACTAGAGGATATTAACAGGTATATGGGTATTTTTATGTGCGTGCGTGTGTGTGTGCTTATGTGTGTGTGTGTGTGTGTGTGTGTGTGTGTGTGTGTGTGTGTGTGTGTGTCTGTGTATGTGTTGGATGATACGCGTCCTCCAAGACGAATGGGTAGGGGCAGTGATTAACTTCAAAATGTATGTTACTAAATATCAGGTCTAAGGTTCTGCCTTTGTTATTGTCAACTGTATTATGTTGTTTCAAATCAGAAAGATTGCATATGTCAATGAAATTCTCCGTAGCGTTTTGTAAATTGGCTGGTCCTTGATTTTGTATTATAGGTCCACTAATTGACCATTTAACATTCGGTAGGTTAAAGTCACCAGCTAGAATGATGTAGTCATTTGGTTGCTTGGAAGTAATTTCAGCTAGACGGGATGTTATTGATTCGAGGCGACATGATAATAGGTCGTCTGGAGGAACGTAGATTAACCCAATATGAATGTTTCGATGCCCTTGATTTTTCAAATGTTCACTAGGTATAGTTACCCAAAGGGATTCGACACCATGACAAGCCCATTCGCTACGATGTTGGATGTGTAATTTTTTTAGGGCACAAAGAAGTACACCACCACCCTTTGTTTTTGTGGAAGTTTCAATATTTCGGTCACATCTTAGGATATCGTATCTGCTGTCGCAGATTTCACGGTCATAGATACCATTTGTCAACCATGACTCAGCGATTAAAATTAAATCGAAGTTATGATTAAGAATATTTAATCTAAATTCACTAGTTTTAGTACATAAGCCCCGTACGTTTTGATAAAATATTTCTAAGGGATTAGCGCCTGATGGTATCCGTAATAAGTACCATAATATTAAGCTGCCACAATTTATTAAATTTAATAGTGTGTAGTTTTTGACTAATTCCGTAACAATGTACCAATTTACTGATTGAGAATTGGAATGATATTGGTATGGCTGAGTTACTATTTGGCTTATTTAAGTGTGTGTATCGTCGTTTAAATGTATGGAATTTGCTATATGAGTATCCAGGTGAATGGGAAATGTGTATGTAGTGCGTGTATTATGAATATTTCCAAAATATATATAAAGACGTCAACAATTTAAGAATATATACAGTAAAAAGCATAGTAGAATCTTTACTAGATAATATTGAACGAATTATAATAGCAGCATATTTTGGCTATAATAAGCTTCTTTTTATTTATATATGTAATGATAATATCATTTACTGTATGTTTTTTTATATTTTTTAGCAATGTGTGTGTTGTTGTGTTAAATGTGGTAAGTGTGATTATGAATTTGTCATGTTTTAGTGAACAGTATCCCATATACAGTTTTAAATTAAAAATGTAACAAAATGTAATTTTAACAAGCTGTAAAAACATGGTATTAACTATCTTATACTTATATGACGTATAACATGTTATTTTATTTTGTTCAAATCCCTTTCCGAACTTATTGATAAGGCTGGTGATTCTTCGTTCCTTCTTAAAAAAATTGAACAATTTCTGACCCAGATGAACTTGTATGATTTATCAGAAGCGATAGATTTTACCTTGTTTAACAACTGCTTGTTCTTTGGGGTTAAGTGTTCGTTGACGTAGAATCTGCGACGATCCCCTCCTAATCCTATATCTGTTGTACTAATGCCTCTAACTTTCCTTAAGCCGGATAGAATTGCATCCTTAAGTTCACGATTTTTTAGTTTTGCAACAAGTGTTTTCGGTCTACCTGGCTTACTTTGCATTGGCTGAACTCGAGAGGCAAATTCAATCTGATCATGTTTAAGGGTAACCCCTGCATGCTTTGCTATCTCAATGACTAAACTAATTGGTGACTCTTTGGGTAGTTCAGGCAATCCTACGATTTCTAAGTTCGACATTCTTGCCCATTGTTGTTGGTGATCAATTTGTTTTCGCAGTTCTGAAACTTCTAAATCTGTATGTGTGATTCTTGCTTCTAGATTTTTACACTTTTCATCCAAGTTCTCATATTCAATACGTAACTGTGCATTTTCTTCCTCCAGTCTCTTAAATTCTTTAGCCATTTCCTTCCTTATTTCCGCAATAAGAGATACCTTTAGTTCGTTGAATATTGATTCCACCATAGGCTTTACTTTGCTATCGAAAATGGATTCCAATTGCTCGAAAATTGCCGAAGAACAAAGCAAAGTACCTTCCAAGTTTTCATTTTTGTGTTTTGTTATTAGATCTTGATTCAAATTAGGCGTGTTAGTAGTTGAAGAAGA